GATTTTTTATAATAAAGTGTGAGTGTATCAGTTATTTGCATCTTTGGATATTAAAAGGTGAATTCAGAAGAAATCACAATATAACATTTGTTCACTGACCAACGGACAAGAAAACAAGGCTTACACTACGTTCCAAGCTTTGTCCCCATATATCATAATTTTAAAAAATAAGAGGCGTACATTAGTAAAAATATGACAAGAACGACAGGAAGAATTTATTTGGTCCCCATAATATTATGCATCTCTCAAACCAACGAGACGCGAAAATATTGGCACTTGCAGTAGCCCTACATCGAGTTACATTGAAGAGGTAAACAGTGAATTCCTGGAATTCGGAATCTTTGTGAGTAGGGTAGGAAACCTCGTGGTATGTGTATCTTATAAAGGTAACAATAAGTCATAAAGGCCTTTCCTATGAAACGCAGTAGGCAACCAGGCGAACATCGTTTTTTTGTCTCCATTTTAATTTTATAAACACCATGGTGACTAAAACAATCCAATAAATATCTCACTTGACAGATCTTTTTATGGTCTACAAAGTCTGCTGTTCACTTTCTTTTGAAAACATTTACTCAATAAATTTATTCAAAAATCCGTAAAATTTTCATGTTCGCGTGCCCTATGGAAGTTGCCCACTGTGTGGGTACCATAAACCCTCATGGCCTATTCTATGAGGTAACCATAAATCCTTAAGACCTGTCCTGACTGGGTAACCATAAGTTCGCATGGGCTATTCTATAGGGACGATCATAAGTCCCTAAAGGCTATCTTACGGAAACATCTGTAACTTCTCTTGGCCGACTTATGGAGCTACCCATAAATCCTCAAGGAGTCAGTCATAAAGCACGTTTGTGAAAAAAGGCCTCTTTTGACTCCCCTTCCTCCCTATTTTTTGTACTGTTCTTTCCAAACGATGCTTGTTCAGTACATTGACAAATAAATTCATCTGTTTGATAAGGATGTTGGAGAAAACGTGCATATTGTTCGACTTGTTCGAGATCTAATGGCCATTCTTGTAAGATAGTAGTGATATTTATTTTCTGCCATTGAAGTTCATTAAAACGATGAATAGTACCGTTGTTCTGTTGACAAGAGAGAATATTGTTGTCACGAATTAGATCGATGGGTGATTGTGGACGACGACAATAGTAGAGATTTTGAATAAAAAAACAATCATAGTATTCTATTCCAAGACCATCTTGCGTATCGTAAAGATAAATTTGATTTTGTACAAAAATGAAACAACTGAAGAAAATCGTTGCAGTAATTTTCAGAATCATTTTATCATAAAAAGAAGATTCTCTGTTTGATAAAAGTCTTATTATTTCATTATCTCTCTTGAAACACGTTTATCAAATATGATTTTATTCATAATAAATACGAACAAGAGGAAAGCTCTATGACAATAATCGACACCGGTGCAATATGTCATGGAAGGAAATTTGATCTTTTTTCATACATCGGTTCTCAAATAATTCTAATTGGACGGAAGAAAAATATTTCATCTGGTTTATTTTCACGTATACAATAAAATGATTTAAAACATTATGTCGAAAGATTAACACTGATTGGCCAAGCTGACCCAATCATTCCCTTCTCGACATGAACAAGATCTCCGTCCTTTTGATTCGGATTCGAGCGGACTTGCGTGGTCTTTTGCATAGAAAAGAAACGATTGCAATGAACATAGAAAAAAAGGTCTACTTACAGAGTTGTGCAAGAACAATGCAAATGACGAAACAGAAGAGTAGAAGACGAGCCATAAAAAATGATGCTGAATAAATGTTTTGAATGAATAAATGCAGTTAACATACGATGTTCTTTTATACTAGTATACTTCCGTTTTTTTTGTGTGGTTTGTAACATTTCTCTCGTTTTCGCCGATAGTATTACCGGATAGAGAAATCTCATATCAGTGAGTAGTAGACATGTGCGGGACCAACTTTTTTCAGTCCTGGTCCGGCCCATGGTATTTCGTTTGTTCTGAAATTTATAATATCAAAAAGTTCATCAATTTTTGTGCCAGAAGAAAACATTCAATCGGCATTATCTATAAGAGACATCTAGCGATTTATTTAGTAATGCTTATGAAAAGTATTTGTTCTAACCTAATCAGGACAAAGAGATGACTAATATTACATGTATATTTATTTTTACTATAGTTTCAATTCAATTCTCCGATTGTGGATCAGATAACAGAAGCTTTTTTAGTCCCTTGAGTTCCGACTTTTTTCTACCGAATCTAAGTTTCATAACACATATGATTAAGTATCTAGATGGTATTAAGAGACTTCTGGTCGGATAAAAATAAAAAACTGTATGATTATATGATTATCTATTTATTCACTTCAATGTTGATACATATAGTTCTGATGATACAAAGAAAAACAATTTTTTACGCACAAATCAACACCACAAAAAGTACATATCACATCCGTCGTTTTTTTATTTTTCTTTCGTACTACAATAAGCACATCTATGACGAGTTGAAATAACTTCTGGCATATGAGCTAACAGTTGTGGTTTTTCAGAATTTTCCGTGTCACTAATGCTCTTTTCGATGCGCACCTTCTTCTGATTGCTCATTGCCGAAGGTCTTCCTAGTTGAAAGAAGTAGAAAAACTTGAGTTGTCAACTTTCCATTCCCAACCATCCATTGAACTTTGGTTGAGTTTTTCGATTAATGAATCATTATCTTCAGAACCACTACTTTCAAGTTCATCAGAACTAATTGTACTTTCATTTTCATCGGATAAGGTTTCGTCAGAATCTGAATCCATTATATTTTAGAAAGCAGTTAGGTTTTCATCACGACACAATGAATCAAAACACGAATTTTTCAAAATTTAGATTTTTGATAAATTTAGATTTGAAAACTTTCTGAAATCAAATAAACATACCGCAGTATATACCGAAGAATTGTCAACGTCGAAACACATTTCTGATCGAATACCACTGAGAGCCTGGCTGATTGTCAGTTGCGAATTGTGAGAACGTTTCGCCTTCTATGGACTCTCTGGTCTCTTTCAAAACTACATTGATTTTCCATTACCTTCTGGAAATAATACACAACCAGGTGCTGTCGGTCGTGGTCAACAGACAGCCACCGCATTGACGATGTTTTTTTCGATTCTTTGCTTATGTTACGCCGATCATTGGTGCCATTCTAGCTGATCAATTGTGGGGAAAATATAAGACTATTATTGTTTCATGTATAGTCTATATGATCGGTCTTGTCGTAATGCTTCTAACCAGTATACCATCAGCTATTGATAAAGGTGTTGCGTTTTCTGGTTTAATCGTAGCAATGGTTATTATTGGCTTTGGTACTGGTGGTGTGAAAAGTAATGTGAGCCCATTGATGGCTGAACAATATACTAGAACAAAGCCTATTATCACTGGTAACTGAAATCTTTCAAATAGAAATATTGTTTTTCTTGTCTCTTTATAGTCATTTATGGTCAAAAGAAAATTATCGATCAAAGTTTGTGAGTTGATTGAGTATTTATCTGCTTATTTTTTCGACTACATTATTCATATTTTAGAGCGATGCAATCGATGTTTGATTGGTTTTATTGGGTAATTAATATTGGTGCACTATCATTAATTGTCGCTACCAATACCGAAAAGTATCATTCGTTTTGACTTGCATTTCTTTTACCAACAGTAGCATTTCTTGGTTCTATTGTTGTTTTGATCATTGGTCGCAATAAATATGTTCAAAAACCTCCGACTGGGACATTAATCACTCGCGCTGTTCAAGTGACAATGACAGCGATTCGAATGCGACGAAAACTAGGCAAACAACTCGATCGTCCAGATATTTTCGATTACGCCAAAGATATGTCATCATCGAATGATCATAATGAAAACGAGGGAATACCTGTATTAAACAACAATGCGTTTATTGATAATCTCAATCAATCAATCAATTTTATTTTAGTCCATGATGTTAATAAAATGACAGGGTAATGACAAAAGTTCAACAAAGAACTTGTCTAGGTCATCCCCAGTAAAAAAACAAAACAAAAAAGAGATATAAAACAAAAACAGTTTGAACAGTAGAAAAAAATGGCACAGTAAATAGAATATGGCTTAGTATGTACTATTAACTACTGTAAGAAACAAGATGTTTCTTTAAT